CCGTAATTACATTGAACCTTATGGGGAAATTTGATTCGGGATGCGACCAAAATCAGGTCGCGACCAAATTCGGATGGTTCAGAATGGATTAACCGTAATTACATTGAACCTTATGGGAAAATTTGATTCGGGATGTGACCAAAATCAGGTCACGACCAAATTCGGAGGGGTCAGAACGGATTAACCATATTTACATTGAACCTTATGGGAAAATTTGATTCGGGTTGCGACCAATTTGGGTCGCGACCAGAGTCACGGAACGAATTAAGTTCGTGAACCGAGGTACCACTGTATTAATACAGGACCATTAATAATTTAACAAACAGTTACATGCATTAAACCCCAACATTTATGCATATATTCACACTTTCAGGCCTGGATTAAATGATAAATGTTTAATGGACACTGTAAGCCACTCCAATGCTTATATTTTCTCTAACTTCATTACTAACTCTCTAACTATATACTGAGGTCTATGTGTTCTACATTTATTCTTTATCTCTACTTTTTCCTTTTAGAAAAAAAAAACTTATACACCAGTAAAAATTGGATTTGGTATACAAAATGGTTATTAGGCAAGTTCCCATCAATTCAGTGCAAAAATGGGCCATTGGTTATGAGCACTAACAGGGAATATTTATTGGTAGAATCCCATTTTATGTCTTGAATCATAGTATAATTTCTCAGAGGAATGAATTTGGCTTAAAGATAGACAAATTCATATTCCATACTAGATAATGTTATGAACTTTGGCAACTAATAAATATATGGAAATTAGGAAAAAAGAATTATATGTGAGACTTCTCCTTTCCCAGCTGTTGATCACAGAAATTCCACTCATAAATGTAAATCAGCTCCAGATAGGCCTTTGGCAAACTGCCCTTCAATTGATCACTTCCTATTTTGGTGAGTTGTGGTAGGCTAGGAGCTGCCATTTCAGTGATTTACATTTCTCTTGAACTTTACAATCTTGGTACAGTAGTATTGTAAGGAATTCCGAATACTGTACAAACAGCTTTAAAAATATAAGTAGGTTTAGGGGACTTACTAAGGCCTTAAGATCCAATACCTCTACATGTACATCATGTGTTGATCACAAGTATACCAGCATTCATGTACTAACACAGGTTTGTGAGATTTTTCTAACTGTTTCTCACCCACTTTTGAACACTTAAAGTAATTCTCTAGATGATCTTTGCATCATGTGTTAATTTATCCAAGGGTGGTACAGTTACAGAATGCCTCCTTTTCAAATATAAGCATCTGAAGATAGTTTTTGTTTTTTTAAGCCTTGGGGGAAGAATACAATTCTTTGTGCTAGTTCCTCAGTTGCAAAACTGTCAGTTGTCTGATCCTTGATGTGAAAAAACTCTAGATAAAATTAAAAATGATCCCAAGGGTTACATCGACAGTGGGTGGCAGTCATTGACCTTCATGTATTTTTCCTTTTGTTTTCTCCTGCTGCATTTAGTCAGATTTTGTTACGATTAAACAATTGGAGCCTTAAAATTAATAGATAAACAAGGAAACATCTGCAAAATACATTAAATTTTGTTTGCCATATTGGTCTGATCCCAAATAGAACATAAAGAATATTTTTCTATACCTCCCTTTGCCTCATGTAGTCTGGAGAAATAAATCAGAATAATGCCTACTCATTATAAAGTAGAGTTCTGCAGAGAAAGCTTGAGTGACTTATACACTATTTAGTCCTAACTTTTTGGCGAAAGTGTAATTTGTTCATCTCCCATGAACTCTACAATATTTCTTAGAAACAGTGAGATCTGCTATGCACTATTGTTTACTCTGTGACTTCTTAGGAAAGGCACATCAAACATACAGCATACGTTTGCATGCAGAAGGGGCTATATTCAATCCAGGCATCTTCAGTTTAAAAGCTATCAGATATTAGGTAATGTGAAAAACTTCTACTTTTGACTATAAAGCTTCTCTGCCAATCTGAACAGGCACCTCTGAATTAATGAAAGTATAGTCTGATCAGATATAAGCTGACTTCCTATTTTTTGTATTGGATCAAGCTCCTGTACGGCTGCAGACAGAAAGGTGAGAATATGTATTATGGCCCTCAGTTTCAGGAGTGAGAAGAAGGAAACATTTGCTGCTCTGCCCCCAGTAGTAAAATATACTGAACATGCCTTACGTGGCCTAGAAATGTTTATAGAGAATAAGAAATAACTGACCTGCTCTACCTGGTTGGTCCAAGGACTCTCTGACTGGTCTGTGTTCCCCTCTGGGTCCAGTACTGCATACTGTAGTAGCTCTTTCTCTGGGACAACTTCTAATAGCCTGTATAATAGTTAAAACCATATGAATGGGTGATTTATTGTACTTGGGGCAATATAATGCATTTGTATTCATTCATGTTTCAATGCTTGGACTAGTTTCCAATGTTCTTTAGGCAATGATTCAAGTTGTTAATTCTGGGAGCCTTATGCCCAAATATATTGAAAATATTTCCTTTCCCCAAATCTATGTTCATCCTAAACTGATTTTTTGAAATATGTTTCTCCATACATGAGAGAAACAAAAAGGGCACCATCTCTTAAGAAGGGAGAGTATGCAACTATGTGCCAGATTTTAATCATGATGAATAGTTCTTATGCCTCTGTTCCACCTTAATGCAAACTCCTATCAGGAGCACATGGTGGTCAAAACATTTTAAACCAATATGAAAGTTGATATTATACTGGTATTTTATATTTCATTTTAAATATTTTATATTGTGGTTGAAGTTAGTTTAGTTTGTTATTATGGTTAGAAGGTCAACATGCAGAATATTGGAAATATTGGAAAACCAAACATAAAACTTCTATATAAACTAGAACCTACATGGGGACATAAACCTTTATCAAAAGTTAGTTACTTTTGATTAAAGTTGGTTAAATTTTGCTAACTAACAGGTGATGTGGGAGGCAACCAATGGTGTTAAACTTTGCTACATTGCTGGAGATACTCAACCTGTGGACTGACAGGAGATAAGAAATACAAATTTAGATCCCCTGCATGGAGATTAGAGTATTGTATGCAGTTACCTTGGAATAGAACAAAATAGAAATATAGATAACCAGAATCCCATGATTTTGAGGGTGGGGAGTAGTTATATTATTATTATTTTAAACATCTAAAAATAAGTTTTGACTGCATTATTTATTGTAGAAAAAATGTTTCCAAACTGTAAATATTAATTAAACCTTGAGAAAGATCATTAATTTTCTAAGAATTGGCTATCCACAGATGTGAATGAATGTACAACTAACAATCCTTGTGTACAAAACTGTATCAACACTTATGGATCATTCCTTTGTCGTTGTGACCCTGGCTATGAGTTGGAGACCGACGGCATTAGCTGTACTGGTAAGTAGAAATTATTGCTGAGCATCTTTACTATGGGAGGAAAATAAACTTTTTGGGGTTAAATAAACATAATGCTTTCTCATGTCATAACACTGAAGATAAGAATTCTGAAACTGGGAGGTAAATAAAAAAATTAATTCTTACAATATTTAGAATATTTTTGCAATAATTAAGAAACATTTAGCAACTTGTTCAAAAATTTCAAATACTGCCATTTTCCACAGCACAGTATGATCATGTTAGAAAAAGGATTCTGAAAAAATATATTGAGAATTGAGTCAAATGGAAAATGTAGCTGTATCTAAAGTTATAGTATTGGGGTAATTTGAGGTAATGATTAAAGGCACTGGGCTTGAAACTGAGAGACTGTAAGTTCTAATACTGCTGTAAGCACAAAGCCAGCTGGGTATCCTTGGGCCAGTCATTTTCTCTTAGTCCTAGGAAGAATACAATGGCAAACCACTTTTGAAAAACATTGCCAAGAAAACTGCAGGGACTTGTCTATGTAGTTGCCATAGTAATGTACACAAAGTAATTGTAAGGATGTACAAACAGCATATTTTTTCTTCAATTATAAACATAACTTTATTTAGTTCTAAACATATTTCAGTTCTAATCATAACTTAGAATGGGCCAGAAATCTCCCTTGGCTGCAAAATTCTGTATGTGTAAAAATACAGTTGATAGTGTTCCTGCTGGTGATTAGCACTGAACAATTCCTTCCTGTAAACTGGGCACTCTGGGGACAGAGCACGGAGAAATAAAACTGACCTTGGATCTGTTGCATCCAAAGTCACCCATCCACCAGGGGCCATCCAGAACTGGACTACTCCTCTACATCAGCATATTGATTTAGTTAACTCTGTCCCTCGTGGAATCAAAAGTGGGGGAAAATGAGAAAAAGTTGCGGGAACAAAGGGAGGTCCACCTCCCATCATCTCTTTCCCTGGTTGGCATAACCCAACAATTCTTTTGGATTTTGATACTCAATTATGATTTGTATTTAATATTTTTGACTTCATGGTTTACAAGTTTGCCTCCAATAGTGTGTGGATTTGGGAATCAGATAACATTTCACATAGCTGATGAAGTAGATTCTAATTCATAAAAGCCTACGCCATAATAAATACATTAATCTTATGGGTGTCACAATAATATTATTTCTGGGATAACCATGTGAGCAGAAACATCTCAAGTAAAAATTATAAACAGATAAACTGCTAAATGTTCAATGAAACAATATTTTCACGGTAGATGGTAACATTTGGTTTAAATCTCCCTGGCCATGTGATAGCACTATAGTTATGGAAATGTATACATCTGCATTTGATACAAATGAATTGAAGTTACTTTACTTAGAAGTAAGCCCATTCCTTCAATAGATTATACTCTCAAAAATATGCCCCGGACTATAGCAATATGTATTTTGCTGCACTGGTGGTACACAACAGCCTCAGCTACACTTCACTTGGTCTTCAGCAGCGAAACTGAAAAGCAAGAATCACAAACCTTCTGAAAATGACCACTGACATTACTCAGTGGAGTCAGTTCAAGCCCACAATAGCAGCAAGAATTACATAACTGTAACTGGGGATTTTTGTTTTTTGGTTTTTGCATGAAGCATTTGGTTTAGTATGAAAATGATATTCTGAAAAGTCCCTTGTGCCTATTTAAATGAGAAAGTCTACTCAAGCAGTACAAAAAATAAGTATCTGGGGGAAGATTTCTCTTTCTTCCAATTTACTATAATTTTGTCTCCTGGAAGCAACGAGAGTGTGTGTACAAAATTGTAATTTTAGACCATTTCAAAAGGACTAAGACCCAGCCCTAGAGAAGGACGTCTGACCCCTTCATCTTCCCACATTAACATTTATTCCATGATGTGCTGGATCAAGAATTAGCACAACCCATCTTAAATATTTATTTTTGGCACATCACCCCAGGATGAAGCCACTCGTTTTCTTATTTGGGCAAAAAAATAAATATACATATATACATATACATTCCTTTTTCCAGAATCTGATTTCATTAAATATACAGTCCAAGGATTACTATGTCTATGTGCCAAACCAAAATGCTCATATTATTTTTGAATAAAAAATAATATAGGCCTTGCCCACAGGTTTAAAACAGTTTTCCTTTACTTAAATGTCTTTGCTTTTGCCCCAAACTCATTTCCATTCATAAATTTAGGAATACTAGCACATATAAATGCCATTCTCTTTCAGCCCTAGAGCGGGAAGTAGAACAAAATCTACCTACCAAACTGCACTGGAACAGTGTGGTTGATTACGGTCCATAAGGGAATTGATTCAGGATGGCAATGATAACATTATATATATATGCATTTCTTAAACATTTTTTATATTTTTTAATCCAGTAGAAAAACAGAGATTAATTATTAAAAAAGAGACTCTAGCATCTTTTTGACACAGTATCTTCAAACTGGTCTTAGATATGGCATCTGCAGGCTGGAGGGTTTGTTTTTCTTTATTACCAGAAAATAAATTTCTGCTAGTCAGATTTAATTCCAGGAGCCCAAAGAAGAAAGAAAATGCAGTTGACTGTCTTAGTTTCCTCTGTCCTATTGTCAAAAGTTATTAGCGGCTTAAACTGTTACTGCCTTTTTCTCAGTTGGATTATGCATTAAAATGGCTCTGGTCCTATATGCCTCTTCTCCCCAAATGTATCAAATAACACATATTTGCATCTGGAGTCCATCAAACTTTGTGAAGATTGCATAATCATCACAATATTGTGAAATCCTTTACTTGAGTAGCCCTTCATAGACCCTACATTGAATTATTTATGTTCAGAAGTTTTTTGTGCCTTTCCCAACCTGCTGTGCTCCAGATGTGCTGAAACGTAAGTTCCAAGAATTGCCAGTCAGCATGGGCACATCAGGAGGGCACCAGGTTATGGAAGGCTGTTTTACAGAATAATTTATACAAACCAGAATCCCTTTTCCAGGAGAGAGAATTTTAGAAAGCATATGAGCCTCAAGTACAAGATATTAGTACACAGAAAATGAATGGTTCATGTGTAAATCTATTCTGTAAGCAGAACAGAGAAAAATAATTAGGAAGATTAAAACCACTATTTCAGGAAATTATACTATATAATGAGGAACATGACGTATAGAAAAGCACCATCAAGATGATAGGAGATGGGAAGTTGTTTCTCCATGCAGGCTTATCTGAGATTACATGGTAGGTCGTGGTTTTCTATGAGCCTGACCCCAACTGAAATCCAAACAATTATGAAGCATCATTACAACAGTTTTTAAGGAGCTCTAATCCATATTAACTAGCAGCAATTTTAGATAACAAGTAACAGCAATTCTACCAAGAAGGAGCAAACTTTTTCATATTCTTACATTTGCAGATATGGATGAATGCAGCTTCTCAGAATTTCTCTGTCAGCATGAATGTGTTAATCAGCCAGGTAGTTACTACTGTTTCTGCCCTGCTGGTTATGTTCTTCTTGAGGACACTCGATGCCAAGGTAAGAATATTCCACAAGTTTTGTCTTTTAAATAAAATCAGAGACTAAATAAACCAGTATTACTCTTCTGGAAATAGTAGTAGTAGTAGTGGTAGTGATAGTAATGCATAAGAGAATCGGGTTTTGCAGACTCTACTACAAAAAGACAGTGTTGAGAGGTATTACACAATATTGCTTGAAGCATAGCTAAGTGAGCAGTGTTTCAAAGTTAATGGCTTTTCTGGCCTAACCAACTATTTTCCGAGCAGCTAAAGGTCACCTAATGGGTCCTGTGATGCTTTTCTACACCTATTGTATTTTGTATATTGTATCATATTTTCCAGTAGGGAAGGCTTATTAGAGAAAGCTGATTCTATACAAATGGTATTCTTATTTACTAGCTTTGAATAGCAGATAACTTTTTAAAACACTCTGCCAAGTATCTGTGAGTACTTCCCTCTGGTGAGCACATTTCAAAAAAACCGTTGATTGACTTACTTGGCAGAACTAAACTATTATAATACAGCTTCCTTTTCGTAGGTTCCTTACCCTTTGTTTGTTTACTGAATTTAAGCTGGATATAAATATAAGACTAATCTGTACATAGCCTTCATGTGGGTATACCAGTAGTTCCTAAATTTTCTATTTCTTATTTAACAAGAGGCCAGGATCAGTAGGCTTATTGCCTTTCTTCCTCTAAGAATCAATGCAGCTGGTGTAGCTAAGCCTTAACTAAACAGCACAGTTAAAATTTCCAGATAAATAATTGTTCATAAGTTTATATCCAAACTGAGAAAGGATAGTACAGGTAGTCCCTGAATTAAGAACATCCAGTTTAAGGATGACCCATAGTTAAGAACAGAGCCTACTGTAGCAAAATTCAAGTTCAATATACAATGGTTTGAGTTAATTATATACTACTACTTATACAGTATTATACAATAATACTGTTCCAGCTTACATACAAACTCAACTTAAGGACAGACCTTGGAATGGAACTCGTTTTTAAACTGGGGACTACACGTATAAGACTTGTAGTGAAAGCTCAGCCTCTGTTAGGGGTGTCTGCAGGGCATGGTGAGAGATGTCAGCTACCATGGTATAATCAAAGCTCTGCCTGTTTTTTTTATGTGCAGAGCTTTGATCACATCACTGTGACCATCATCTTGACCTTTTTCTCCATCTGGACTCTCCTGACCTCTGGTAATGCTAAATGAAACTCAGTGTAGTGTAGTGGTTAAAGTGTTGAGCTAGGAGTGGGCAAACCCAGGTTTTAGTCTATACTCAACCATGAAGCTTGCTGGGTGAATCTGGACCAGTCACCCTCTCTCAGCCAAACCTACCTCACAGGATTATTATGGGAAAAATAGGAGGAAGAGTTCTATGTATGCTGCCTTGAGTTCCTGAATGAAAAGTGGGATATAAATAATATTTTCTCTGAGAGCTGTGTGTATGCTTATTTTTAATATAATTATTTGCTGTATTTCTATACCACTTTTCAATTAAAAAGTTGAAGAAATTAGCATAAAAATCATTATAATATACTAAAAATAAGGAAAAAGGTAGAAACGCCAAAACCCTGAAATGATTAAAGCACTAAAACTAAATTAATAAATAATAACAGTAATTAGGGCATATAATAAAAAGGAAAATATGGAAACCAACAGAAGACTTGGGTAGACAGGTAAGTTTTTAACTTACGATGAAAACCCTTCACAGGAGGGTCCATCACAGAAGGAAAGAGAAAGGTCAACTGCACAAGTAATGGCCCTCATCTCTCCACACTCCCTATTTACTTCTACAAACTGGAAAAATAAAGGAAATATAAATGCATGCCGCTGCCAAAGTTATACCCATATGACTTGCCCTAACATTGGAATCCAAGCTGAGACAGAACAGATCTGGTCAACCTACAGTATCTGCAAAGAATGTTATAAATTGCTCACAGCATCTATCAGCTCCCTCCCTCCAAATATTGATAGAGGAGATCCTTAACAGTCTGTGGAATGGCAATGCTGTCCTGTTCTTTGCAGATGCAGAGGACGCAGAGAAGTAAGCATTCTAGTCCCGAGCTGAATCTTTAAGGCAGCTCTCAGCATGAATCATGAAGTCCCCTAGGACAACTGTTTTGGGGTTTTCCAAACTACATCTAAGACCCACACAGCCAGACAATAAAGCTTGGATGAGCAAAATACAAAGTCTGCGGACCAAAGCAACACCTTTCACAGAACCTAGCCCAAGTTAGTACTATATTATGAACCCATGTTCATAATATGCAATAATATGGAATGAACCAGAGTGAGCTAGCCTCATAAGGATCAACCAGCCATGACAGTTTATTAATTACTGCAGTTCTCCATTAACTCAGCTGGTTACATTGGCAGACTGGCTGAAAGAGGCAAGCAAACATAGAGGGTGGTAAGGATCCTTTATTGAAACCTGATAGTCCTCTCTCTTAAGTTCTTCTCTTTAGAGTAAAATTATGCCCAAGCACAGCCTTCAAAAACTTTTTTCAAGTATCTTCCTGGAAACTGTGACAAAAAAAACATGTATTTAAAAACTCAGTACAGTTTGTGGAGACTTCAAAGTAGGTTGGTGAGTTAGTTTGCTGCTTTATATTTAGCATTTCTACATGTAAGATTGACCTTGTCAGTTTCTCTCTTATCTACCGTAAATGTAATGATTTACGAATATATCCCTCTTGTCTGGTGCATTAAGACATGTAACAATCAGCCAAAAGTTCTTTTTTTTTTTTTTGTCCAAAAATATACTGGCTTACAAACTGAAAGACATATTTCAAGACTGTGTAGTAGATGATATTACCCAGATATTTCACAAATTATATTAGCAGCAGTTTTCCCTAAGAGCAAGCAGAATCCACTTGGATCTCTTAAGGTTCATTCTTTCAGTCATTTATGACATATCTTTTTTCTGCAAAGCATATTTCATTTATACAAAGTATTTCCTCTCCTACACAGATGGACATTCTGGAGAATGCTAGTCCTAATTCTATTTTGGCCGCAAAAGCCAGCAAACATCATGGATCATCTTTCAGCTATTAGTTCCCAACTACCTGTCAATGAAAATTAGCAAGAAAACAAGTATTTTTATTTTAGTTTGCCAGTTGTTAGATAAGAGACAGAGCAATGATTTTTTAAAATGTACTATGTGACAAACTATCAGAAGTGCAGAAAAGAGAGAGAGTGAGAGAAGTTGTTAGCAGTTTTTTGTAAGTAATGTTAAGTAACTTCTTTGGAAATCCGATCATTCTCAAAATGGAGAGTTAAGCTGTGTTCATTCAATGCCTTTTGTACTGGAGGTCCAAATCCAATAACACTGACTCTTCAGCACCTCATGACCTACTGACCACAAGTGGGCAGCCGGTTGCAGATAAAAAGTTAAAGATTTTCTCTATCTTCCCTCTTTATCATTCTGCTTGCTCCTTATTTAAGAGTGCTAATCTGAGATCTCTCTTCTGCCTTATTTCCTAACATAGTCAGAGAAAGCATATTTCTTTACTCTTCTTCCTGTAAATAATTTCCTTTCTGCTATAGCTATAAAATCTGCTTTATTGATCATTGATCAGTTACTGTTCTCAGGAATGTTCTTTCTCTCACACACCAGAAAGCTTCATTGTCCAATATTATGTATAATGGAAACATGTTTTATTTTTGCTCAAATCACATCTCACCAGCCTTTTGAAGACCTCAAGACTTCAGTATGTAATTCCATTTTAGTCTCACAACAGTCACATCAGATAGATTAGGCTGTGAGTGCATAAGTTCCCTAAGGATGCCCAGTAAGCTTCATTGCTATCACTGTTGCCTGAGGACAGGAATTAGAATTCAATATAGCCAAAGGCACTGGGCAATGGTTTGGGAAAGACTCTCCTAAACGTGCTAAGTGTCATATCTTGGAGGCGGACTATCTTGTAGGACTGTTAAAGCTCTGCCACTTACAACCTCCCAGCAGCTGTGCCAGAGATTCAAACTACAAGCTGTAAGACTCAGCCAGGCTTTAGATCATATACAAAGGAATCACATCCTCTTTGCTGGATTTATGAAATTTGAGGCCTTTTGGAAATTAGGGACAGAATGGAAGGAAGGATATTGAGGAAAAGTTGCTAAACCAAACCAGAAATGAGTGGGGTTCAACAGCTTCCCCCGGGATTAACTTATTGGAATTTCCAGAAAAAAGGATAATCCAAGTAAAGAGAAGCAGGAGAAGACCTATTTCAAGAGTCTGTTTTATTTCACAGAAATAGGTTGACATTTTAACCAGTTATCTTACAGCCTTTCTACTGAAATTTATAGTCTTGCTCCAGGCAAAGAATAAGCAAAGTGTAATAAACCATCGTGATCTTGTGATCTGAATGCACATTACAGTTGTTTTATTTCCAGTATTGAATTGTTGCATTCTTAAAGAATTATTTGTTTTAATATTTCATCCCTTGTATTGTTAAATAAAATTTATTTGTTTATCTCTTGTGAGATTGCTCTGTCTCCCAAGGAAGGGCTGAAATCCTCTAGTCAAAGGCTTTTACTCTGCTAGGTCAGGAGGCTGCATGATATAACTTCTTTCATTTTTCTTTCACTTTTACCCTTTTACCCACCAAAAAGGGTACAGATTGTAGGATCCCTGTCTCTTTTACAGAAGGGGTTAAGGGGAGATTGCCAAGTGAGACACCGGAAGGTATGTGCTACAGCCCAAACCACCAGGCTGCCATTCAAAGGCCAGGATATGTAGACCCAGAAGTGTGAGACCCCCAGCCTTTCATCCTACGGGCTCATAAACTTTTGTTTATATTATGAACTGAACAATGTGTACTAGCACATTTATTACAATGCCACATTCTTTGTGTTTTTTTCTTCATTTTAGATGTTAATGAATGTGAGGTTGGGAATCACACTTGTACCGTGCAGCAAACATGTTTTAATGTCCAAGGAGGATTCAAATGCCTAGACCCAGTAAGATGCGAGGATCCTTATATCCTGATCAATGAAAAGTGGGTAATATATTAATAGAAAAAATGAGGGCAATAATTTTCTCCATGGAGCACATTATATAGTGCTGGGTTACTTTTCAGACTGCAGCTGCTGTTTTTTGTTGCTGGCCTTATACGATCTTGATTTTAGGATGCATTTCCCCATTATTTTTGAAAAAGGCACTTAATATGAAACTGTCCAATGACTGAAAATATATATTTCCTAAAGATATCTAGGACTAGATAGCCACCTGTTAAGTGCATACTCATTGCCAAATCCAGTTTCTTGTGGCGTAATGTATGAAATAGCCAATAGGTAAAAATGCAGTTTTCATGGTGTGCATGCCTTTCTAGAATAGTATTTCAAATATACAAAATACTTGTCAGCATGGTTTGTAATTTTCCATAATTTCATGGTATTTCCTTCATGTTTTCTCCTCTCAGAATGGAAATGCTCAATGGCAAAAACTGTTGTTGTTTATTAATTTTCCCATTTCTTGTTCCAGTCAAAGGTCAAGGCCAAAATATTCTATACCTGCAAACTGTTTTTGCATATGTGAAACCACGTTTGGGAGCAAAACAATAGCTTCCCATTCTTGACTGCAACAGCAGTCAGAATACCTTGCAACATATACTGTATTGATCTTAGAAATAGAATTCTTAATCAAAGAATTACAAGGTGATGCACAAAATACAGTGGATGTATTTACACTGGAGTTAGGAAGACAGCTATCTTCTTTCTTGCTTTATCTATCATAAAATATAACATAATTCCCTATCAGGTCACCAGGTGGCAGGGTACTCAGCTATTTACAATTAAAATAGAAAAAGTGCTTATGAGATAATAGGAGCATTTATCATTATCATTGCTCCCCTTTAAAGTTGACCTTTTAATTAGAGACATTTCATAAGTCAGTTGTTTATGTGTTGCTTATCTCCCTCCCTTTATTATAGGCCCTACAAGGTAAAGTCATCTCTAGTCACTTTTCAAAGTTGGAAATGTTGTGCCCTATACATAATTAAACAGCCAGGGAAACATTAGAACAAAAGGAATGGAAAATAACATTTAAAAAAAATCCTATTTCTTCAGACAATACAGTTAAGGTTCATGAATTCAAACTATAAATATTTTTACAACAATTTATGGTCAAATTATTTGTGCATCCCAATTTAGATTAGATCAATTATGGAATAAACTTGACATACTTCCTTAGTTTCATTTTTTTCTATCATGCATATTACATTATAACAAGGATTGTCATCTTATTCATGAAATAAAAACAATTATTTTATGTTCTGCAATAATTTATTATTTATATTATTCCTTATATTTTTATATCACCCAGTGACCAAGTTTTTAGACCATTTGCAAAATGTATAGATCAATGAACTACAAAATAAAATTTTAAAACATCAAAACAGCTACATAAAGACTTAACTATCTCAGCATAAAAATAGCACTCATTTGCTTGCTGTTAAGCAACACAGAAAATAGAATTCTTATTTGCTTATAATAATTTGTTTATAACATCAAAAATAATAACAGGTATGAAATAATACCTAGCAATAGCAGTTCACCAAAATGCACACTAGAATAAATTCAGGAAGCTTTATTAATGTCATCTAATACATCAAAAGCCCCACTGAGTCCAATGTGATTTATTCTCACATAACTGTAAAATAGCCTTCTCCAACCTGCTGCCATACAGATGTACTGTGCCATAGTTCCCACCAACCCCAACCACCATGGTTTTATCTAACACTTCCGAGGGACAGAGTTTTTGGAAAGATTAGTCTGTAGGACTGCTTCTGAGGGTGGTATAGAAATAAATAAATAAATAAATAATATAAAAATGCCAAATCCAGTTTAAACATCTGGCTGTGCGACCAACCATAATAATAAAATAGAACGCCTGTGGCAAAAGACAGCAAAGATAGTACCAATAGTAACAGGCACCTTGAGTGCAAAATCCCAAAGCATCTGGAGCACCACTTGAAAACCATTGTCATTGACAAAATCACCATCAGTCAATAGCAAAGGGTAGCTTTACTTGGAACAGCTTACATCCTGCGATGATACCTTTAACACCATCAAACAACAACATCTGCCTATCCTAGCTCTTTGGGAAGGGCTGGATAAAAATGCCAAATCCAGTCTAAATATCTGGCTGACTGTGTGATCACCACCAACAATAATAATATGCTTCTTTTTGTTCTGTCAGTCATTGTATATGTCCAACTGAAAATCCTAGCTGTAGAGACCAGCCATTCACCATCCTGTACAGGGACATGGATGTATCAGGACGTACTGTGCCCTCCGACATATTTCAGATGCAAGCAACCTCACGCTACCCTGGTGCTTATTACATCTTTCAGATCAAATCAGGAAATGAAGGCAGAGAATTCTATATGCGGGTGAGTGGAATTTAAGGACAGATCCTTTCATTTTTTTTTAATACAGGTAGTCCTCACTTAACAACCACAATAGGGACTGGAAAACTGGTCGTTATGTGGGGTGGTCATTAAGTGAGTCACCATATAACTGGACCTGATTTTAAGACCATTTTTATAATGGTCATTAAGCAAATCACTGCAGTTGTTAAACAAATCACATGATCACTAAATGAAAAGTATCTCCAATGGACTTTTTTGCCAGAATTCACTTAACATCCATGGTGGTTCACTTAACAACTATCATAAAAAAAGTTGCAAATCATGATAACATGACCATGGGGGTGGTGCAATTGTTTGCAATGCTCGTAAGTGCGAGTACAGGTTGTAAAGCACTTTTTGAAGGCCACTGTAACTTCAAACCGTTAAACAAATGGTCGTTAAGTGAGGACTACCTGTAATCCATATTATTTTTAAGGGTTTTTTTGAAAAGTTTATGTGTTACAACTTTAAAAATTCTTAAAATTATACTTTTAAAAATATTTACAACTTAAAACCATGTTTTAATGAACTGGTGCTGATTCACTCAGCACTACTATATCCATGTACTATATTATGTTCAAACCACGATGATGATGATCATCCTATACAATAATGTAAAAAGCTCCATTAATAATATACTAGCCTGTCATACATTTTCTTAGCCTGTTTGAACAGTAACATAATCACAAAAATATCCATATTTTTAAGAACACTAGATAAATCCATGAGTGCCCATTAGCAGAGATAAAGAAAAAAGCAGTTTCAGATGTTCACAGGCAGGTTTATCTCCACCTAGCAAGTGCTGGACCAAACGTGGGGGTTATCTCCACAACAAGATTTTGTTTGTGACTTTTCCAGGGCCACAGGCTAGCTGGGGAAAGGACATTAGTTAGATGGAATTTCTACCTTACTCAATATAAATATTTTATTTTTGAGCACTATAGAATAGGCACTGAGGCAGAACTGAGAACCCTAATTCACCTTGACATGGGTGAATTAACTTGACATAGTGAATTAAAGTCTTCTCCCAGGAAGACTATGATGGGCTAGACAGGGATGTAATTTTACAGCAGCCACACTGCAGATTTAAGTGGCCTTTGACAAAGTAGTTTCTGCCCTCTCAAAACACTTCCATCAATGGAAAGAAGGAAGAAGGGAACAATGTACACACCTATACCTTTGAAAGTAAATTTCTACAGTCAGTGAAAACCAAGACTGGCCCTATTGGTTTCAAGTGGCATTTGCATCTACTGAGAACCGAACCAGGGCTATGTGAAAAATCTGTTATTTAAATGACTGTATTTAAACTCCTCCCTCCCTCACTATGTCTTTTGAGCTCTGCCTCTCTTCTGTTGAGATAAGCCACTGGTAGTTATTTCCCCAATCTGTTCCTTCCCCAGAAGCAGGGAAATATCCATCCTATTTGCTATTCCAACTCTTGTAGAGCATTAGCAGCAGTCAACAAAGGAAGTCAATCAAAAGAAGTATCCAGAGAAAGCAGCAGTCAATGTGGGCAACAGTCTTCTGTCTTCACACAGTATTTATCCAGCAGTAGATTCACAGCCAAGAAGTGATATGGCAACTTGTTTTCAGTGCAAACTGCTGGTGCAGGCCTCAGTTCAGACTCAGGCCACTCTCTTCCCCCCAACCAATACATTTTAGATTAGTATTATATATTACACTTAATAATACTATAAGGATTCTTCATGGTGATTATGGCCACAGTCTTGAATCACCAACAATAATAAATCTCAACTTCCATAACAAAGCCATGATTTTGTTACAAATATTTAAGAAGACAGCTTTTGGCCACATGCTGTGCTTGAAGTACCTCAAAATCTTTCCTTTGCTTTCCCCACACAGCAAACTGGACCTATCAGTGCCACGCTTGTGATGACTCGTCCTCTGAAGGGGCCACGTGACATTCTGTTGGACCTGGAGATGGTCACTGTTAACACTGTCATCAATTTCAGAGGAAGTTCCGTCATTCGACTGAGGATTTATGTCTCACAATATCCCTTCTAAACCTAGACTGGTATCGCTTTCTCTAAAACAACCACAGCAGCAGCTGAAAAAGGACCATTTTCTGCCCAAACCTTTTTCTCAGGAGTCAGTTCTTCTAACAACTCAACATGAAATTAGTATTAAAACATGCTACAATTGCTCATATTACAATGATCGGTCAGTGCTTCTTGTGGTTTAAAGGCACCTGAGCTTTGAATTATCAATGGATTCTATAGAATTATTTTGTTTTATTTTGCTCATGAGTGTTAAGATTCTTTGGTCTTGCTTTCCAAACTTTTTCTAAAATGTGATTAAAAGCTTTAAAAACTGTGAAGCTCTTCACTGTAATGGCAATGCTGTTTAGCCAAGACACTAGAGAACTGGGGAAAAGCTGGCTTCTACTGTTCTGCTTTCTAAAAATGAAGGAAAAACAAGTAAAGCATGCTTGTGGAACCAGGAAAGCATCAGCCACTCTCTCAGAAATGTTTATGGAATAACCTTACGTTCTGAACCCTGGATCTGGGTCAGGGGGAAGAATTCCTTATTGGCCTTCCTTTATTGTTTTTCCCCAGATGGAAAGGTTTTGCTTATTTCCAGGCCAGGAAATTGACTGCCTGGAGATTATGGCCAGAATCCAAACCAACTACAGCTATTACACCTGCCTAAGAGAACTCTGCGCTTGTACTTCTTGAATATACCCACCTATACCCTAGGCAACCTGTTCTTAAAATACAGATAATTTTCAAAACCAGCTTGTACCATGGCATGTCAGGTTGAATGCTCAACTTGAAAAACTTTTTTTTAAAGTCCTATCAGGCACAAGAAATGTATTGGGCACACATCAAAATAACTCTTTGGATACTGACTATTATGGGTAGTATGCACTTAATGGCATACATATTTATTGAAAAATAGGCCATTATGTTCTATATTTATTCTAGGCCCATTTCACTAACAGTCACGAAGCAGCCTACTGCTGTGTAATGATTGTTCAGTATGAAGTCTGGGAAAAAAATCCATACATATAGGTCATATTTTAGCAGCATTAACAGAAACATTTTTTATTCTTAATTTTATTAAGCATCATTTTATATTACTCTTCTTCTCTTTTCTGCATAGGAAAAGCAATGCATCTGCGATCTAAGAAAAAAGATATTCAGGCTGGTAGTAAGCATAGCTCAACAGAAGAGTATCTAAGTTCCTAGCGTAGCCCCCAGCGTTTCCAGTTAAAAGACCTCAGGAAGCAGAATGGGAAAACTTCTATCTAATGCCTCAAAGAACTGCCACAAGCAAGCCAGCCATTACAGGGCTAAATGGACCAGTGGTTTAACCTTGAAAAAGGCAGCTTTTTCTGCATATTAAAAAACCAGATGTTCTGTATCCAGTGATGTGTGTCCCAAATATAGGTAGTCCTTGATTAACAATCACTCATTCATAACTGCTTGAAGTTATGAGGGTGCTGAATGAGATGACTTATGGCTGGTCCTCAAAGTTGCGCCTACCATAGCATCCCTGTGGCCATGTGATTGCAATTCGGGCACTTGGCTACCAGCTCGCAATTACAATGGCTGCAGCATCCCGCAGTCATGTGATCACCATGTGCGACCATCACTGTTGGCTTCTGACGAGCAAAGTCAGTGGGGAAGCCGGCAGGAGGTTGCAAATGGCGATCACGTGGCATCACACGTAACAGCTGGTGGGATTTGCCTAACAACCACAACTGGAACTGCTGGAATGAGACATCACACTTTACAACGGTGTCGCTTAGCAATGGAGTTCCCGGTCCCAATTACTGTTGTTACCCAGAACTACCTGTAGACATTATGTTGTAGCATCATGCATGCATTGGGCGCCTTCCTGGCAACTGCCTGGGCCAGCCCCTGCAGTTTTCTTGGCAAGATTTTGGAACTGCTTTGCCATTGACATTTTTTTTTCCTACGGCTGAGAGAGAATGACTGGCCCAAGGTCACCCAGCTGGCTTTGTGCCTAAGGCAGCACTAGAACTCATGGCCTCACAATTTCTAGTCTTAACCACTACACTAAACTGGCTTTCTTACAGCATATACAGGAAGAGTTTATCTCTTAGGTATTCTGATACATGAATTATTCCATACTTTACTATTCATTTTTAGGATCGTCACTATGGATAAGCTGACATAAGATTTAGGTAACATGAACTAGCTGTGCTGAACCTAAATCTGATTTCTCAGTGCAGATTCAAAATAATGTATGTGGTCCAAATTTCAATGGAAGCTCAGTAAGGATTAGATTAAAAAAAAAAAAAGCTGATTGCACCTGTCCTGGGATTTGAGATCATAATTGTGATTGCACTTGCACACATATTTGGAGAACATCTGTTTATGGGAGCAAAAATCAAAACAAATCATAGTAGTAACGAACATGGTTCTGTCATTTAGAAAACATATATTTTTATTTTAAGAGTTTATTTCCTGCACTAGTAATAACATATGCTTTTTAATCGTTTCAATAGCTCTAACAATACACTGATTTTTTTAAACTGTATTTTTATTTTTTCACTTAGTTTCACCAGGTTTCCTGGAAGAAAAATATGTTGTTCAGAACCAAATTGTGAACATACAAGTTGTTCACTAAGGGACTATATTTTTCTGAATGTTCTGATCACATAAGAGGCTGTATTCCTAGTCCAACTGTGCTTAATTTATATGTTGTTTAAACTTTTCTTCAAAGTAAAAAAAGATGTGCAGATTTTTTTAAAAGGGAGATTATATGTGGCAATATATCTAAGTTTGGACTCTAAAAAACCTTAACCTTAAGCAATGAAATATATGGTGAGGCAGACTGCTACTTACTTTGTTGAGCCCACACAAAGAAAGAAAATCTACGCAATTTAAATGTCATTCAGTACTTGAGCTTGTTTGAATTAACAAGCTTGAAACATTTTGCTAGATGAGTTTGTCCTACTTTGGATGGATCAATAAGGTATGATTTAATATTATATACATAGGGAGCAGCAAACCTTGGATGAGTTAATTATAATTACTTCAGACAATGTGAAGATCCTGGGTAGCCTCCTTTCTGGTAAAGGAATTACCTGGCTTGAAAGCATCTATTTCTCTTTTCAAAGCTCCACAAAGCTGTTCCAAAGGTTCACTGTTGCTCATGCATGTAAGGCTGAACTATCTTTTCGCTTATGTCCAAAAAAGGTATTTACGTGTGGTGTGCATGTGGAAAAATATATAATGGTTATTTGGTGTCCATTTTCTGGATGTGTCCTATTTACTAATGTGACTTGTCTCCCTAACAATCAAATGGCCATCTATAAGTGCTTTATTGAAAAGATTTTCCTTTCCTGCTCCGGCTCAGCCACAGAACAAAGATTCTTTCTTTTTTCCACTGCATTATATGGTGAGGCAGTGCAATTCTGTCGGTGCTGTTTGGGCACAAAGAGTTAGAGATACTTTTTCTTTGCTGTATAAAAAGCCAATATTTACGGTGGAATACTTCTATGAAAAATGTGCAGAGGAAATTATTAACTGGTGAAAACCCTGCTGAAATATATGGAAATTATTAAGTAAATAAACTATGCCTGAAGACATAATTTTGCTTCTTGGTGGTTCTCATTCATTCCAGTGGGTTTCGAGAAGGATTTCTCAGTAGATTGTGCTGCTTGGCTACTATTGTAGAGATCAAACGTAAATTCTTCCTTCTTTGCTATCAAACGTTTCTTTTCACTTTAATATAAATTGATTATTTTGTTTGGAAAAAATAGCATTAGCCAGTCATCATTTGTCACTGTTCCACATGTTGCTGAGGTTAAATACATTATGCAAACCAGCATATTGAGCCAGTTTTGGATTCTATTTCTACATCTGTGAAAACATCCACTTTATTCCTTGTTATGTTTATCTTGTTGGATAAATAACAAGGTAGGGAAAACATGAAGACTGAGGCTTCTGGAATCCTTTACAATCCCTTTGCCAGCTGTGGCCATAGGAGACATCTTCATTATTTCGGTCAATGAAATAATGAGCTGGGTGCCCGTGTGCATGATTCTGCTCTTCCCTTGCTGTTTTTTCTGTGCACTGTGAAGCACAGAGCAGACTGCATTGGCTGCACTCTGGGTCATGTGACCAGCAAGGAGGGGGGCTACAATGGAGGAGCTGTGGCTCACCTGCCTGTCCCATAAGGATGCATTTAAAGATTTTTTTTTTTTTGGTGAAATCTCTTTTTTTCCTCAGCTATGTATAGGGACCATTTTAACTTGATCTTTCTTTTGCCAGCATCTTGCACACCACCACATTTTGCCCGTTCTGGTTTTGGAGACCTATGCTATTGGTGGACAACTCTCTACATAATTTCTTTCCAACAGACCACTGGACTGCAAAGAATAAAAACCAGAGTCAACGGTTTAGATTCATCACTTGGAAATCTTTTTACCACTGAGATTTTGAAGGTTCTAGAACAGGGTTCCTCAACCTTGGCAACTTTAAGACAGGTGAACTTCAACTCAGCCAGCTGGGGAATTCTGGGAGTTGAAGTCCACCCGTCTTAACCTTGCCAAGGTTGAGGAACCCTGTTCTAGAAGGCAATGAACACGAGGAATACTTTCAAAAACTATTCCTTTTTTAAAAAAAATTCTTTCCATCCCAATGGAATGGATAAGCTTCTATATTTGTATGTGATCATGTGGAATGAGGAGAAAGGGATCATTTTCAGATGCCCTTCAATCCCAACACAAAGTAGTACTGACAGAATACTCCTCTTCTACTATTCCCAACTCATTCATGACTGATTCCATTAGGAAGGTGGAGGGATGCAACACCAAGCTGCATATTTGATACAATTCAGGTTTTTGCCTAAGTTTTCAGATCCTACTACATCTCTTATGATATACTTTATCACAAGGCTTTGGGTTCTCTGGAAATGATCAGAGATGCAGCACACAATGAAGTCTTCCACCATCACCACCACCACCACCCCTTTTATTTGTAACATAATAACAGAGATAGCAACACATTAGTTTTGTCTTTAAGTAGGAATGGCTAATTATATATAGCATTTTAATCAGACAGATAAACAAGTATTCTCCCCCATCCCCTCTTCCGTTTCAGCCATAAAGGAATAGGAACGCAGGAGTGATTTACTGCTATTTGTATCAGTATTGCTAAGTTAACCCTTTCCTTTCTTGGACACTATTATATGTCTCTACGGCTGGCAGCTATTTCTAATCCCTCTTTCCATCTCCTTTAGAGTTAAGTAAGGACATTAATTACACTTGGCTGTCAATCTCTCAGACTGCCAGGCCATTGTTGTCCTCGATCTTCTTCCAGAATATACTCCTTCAATGCAGATGACTTCTTCCCCTCTACTTCTTTATGGTATTCAAGCCGCTCTGAAACACTTCAGCCACCTTCTCCTAGGTTGCCCAAGAATAAACAAGCCTTCAGCAGCTCCAAACCTGCCTAGTCCAATATTATTTCTCAGTCATCTTCTGTCCTCTTTCTCCTTCTTTTGTTAATCAGTTTAGTCACATTCATTTCTTGTCTCCCTCTTATGAGAGCTGTTGTCATTAAAGCACTTATCTCATTCCTAGTTAATTTATCAGAATACCAGAATAAAGCATAGGTCTGGTAACCATATGAAACAATGGCAGACAGTCCTCAGCTACTGCAGTCTGTCACATACTGAATGGATGCAGTACGTATACATTAACACAGCAGGTAATGACATGGTTTGTTAGTTCATGGACTTATGAATAAACTTTAATTGGCTGGATCTGCACAATATGCTAAACCACAAACTGTAGTTTACAAACCAAACTATAATATTGCTTGCTGTGTTGAATTAACAAGATCTGAATGTGACTCATATTTGTTTCATCTTTGTTTATTCATGCTGGAATATGTGCTGCTCTTTGTGCTGACCCCACATATTTTTCATAATGAAAAAGAACCCATTTATTACTGTTAAGTGCTCTCAAGTGCTGATGGCAGTAGAATTAATTGGGGGGATTAAGTCCTGATAAAGTACCCCAAATACCTACAAAGAAGCAGTATTATAAACAATCAATTATGAACCTGAAAATATGTACTTCTGGTTTGAATATAATGTTGCATTGTAGCATAATTAGCTTTTTGTAAATGAGCTTCTTTGACCTTAAGATGTACATGCCCTTCCTCTTTCCTCTTTTCTGATGAAGCTGTGTCTCCAACACACTATTCACTGTCTGTAACTTCTCTTTATGTATGAACTGAAAAAGCTTTACAGCAGCTTCCAGATTTCATGCAGCCCTCCCATCAGACCCTGTGACCCTCCTCCCTATTTCCTTACTCTCATTCACTTAATCACATTGCAACCCTATTGCTACTGCCTTATTATTGTCGGCCACATAGTCAGCCAGATGTTTAGACTGGATTTGACATTTTAATCCACCTATTGAGTCCTTCCCAAGGGATCAGCAGATGTTGTTGTTTGATGGAGTTAAAGGTATCATTGCAGGATGTAAACTGTTCCAAGTAAAGCTACCTTTTGCAATTGACTGATGGTGATTTTGTCAATGCCGATGGTCTTCAAGTGGTGCTTCGGATGTTTTGGGATTGCACCCAAATTCCACACCCAACTATGCTCCTTGGTAAGTAGAGTCTGTCAACATTGGTGCATGGATGAAGGGCATGATTCATCATCATTATTTTTCTGGTCTTCCTATCCAGGGCTTCTAGTTCTGCTTGAGTCCAGGCCACTGTTTCAGCTGTGTATTTAATGACTGGAATTGCCCAGGTGCTAATTGCCTTGATGGTATTTCCTCCACTGAGTTTGAACTTTAAGATCTTCTTCACTCTCATGACGTATTCACTACTAACCTTCTTCTTGACTTCAATGTGCTTGATATTGTCAGCTTGAAGGACGCCCAAGTATTTGTAGTGATCTTCTTCATCCAGACTCTTGA